GATGATGTTGTTAATGATGATGGTGGTGGTGGTGGTGGTTGTGATGATGATGATGATGAGGAGGAGGAGGAGGAGGAGGATGAAGATGAAGATGAGGATGAGGATGAGGATGATGATGGAGGTGGTGGTGGTGGTGGTAGTGGCGATGACTGTGACTACATAAAATGAGAAATCCACATCTTTGATAACAATTGTGTGTTTCCGTCATAATAAATCGGTTTACTAAAGAACGGTCCTGATAGAAGCAAAATTTTGGAATTTAAGACCTTGCTGGCCATGAGGTCGAAATTACAGCCCATTCTTGTCTGGATGAGAAGACATTTTTGGCAAGCAAGTCTATGTGAAATCTGGTAGAAACGTAGGTTATCCTCATGTGAATGAGCATATACTCAACTACCAGACCTTGATCTCTTTCAAAGGAAATAGGGTGTGCCAACTTACAAAAGTTGTGGTTCAACATTGAACATAATCAAAGCAAGCAGTACCACAACATTTGTGGCTTGGCACACAAGAGACTATGGCATGGGAAGTCATAGACTTGGTATTAGGGCTAGAAACAGGATAGACTCGGCGGAGACTGGAGCTAGTTAACTGACGGTAGATCGGTTGTACCAGAGACGTAGTACATGTAGAAAAGGCGTGAACATGACACTTACTCAGAGGCTTTAGCCTCGAATTAATCACACAGACGCACGAGAAGGGTGAATAACGCTTCGAGCAGCACAGATGGGGTGGCAGGGGTCGAGTGAAATATGTGAATCAGGGAGAGAGTAGACGGATCTTACATGACAAGAGAGAGCCTGTGATAATACCTACGGAAGGAGGACTGCGTAACAATATGGCAGACTCTGATCAACATTCCCAGCACAAGGATGAAGGGGGGTGAGAAGACCAGTGTGGAGTGTGAATGGTATTCATGAAATCCGCTCAAAGGAGCACACCACACTACATCGAAATAGAAACGGTAAAAAGTGTAACAGTGAAGGTGTGATTAGAGGATATAGGAAATGTGAATAGCCCAGGGCAGAAGGAGAGGTACCACAACTGTTTGGCACACGTTTGTTCAAAGCATCGGCTTAACTTGTCTCTTTGACGAGTTGTTGTGTGGTGCTAAGAATGGCGATACTCACTGACGATGCATACAATGAACCACGGACTGCGTGCATTGCTCTAAGTCTTCCTACCAACATGACCAATTTGCAAAAACAAGGTCAAACAACTTCTATCCAACCAAAGGAGACTGCGATCACACAAAAGGCCACACCATCTTGGTCTTCACACCTTCGAAATAGGGTGAATTCAGGCCATATGTAGGAGAATGGATTGCCACCAGTGTCACTAGGGGACAGGGCAGACGTGACACCCAAGTTCAAACGAGCCTTTAACAGACCAACTTTATCTAATGATTGTTTCAAAAAGGCAAAATTCTATTTGTCTTTATCATCAAGGGCCTTACCTATAAAGGCAAGTCGTGAAATTGGATTTAGTATGAATTATAAATTGAGAAAGAAAATGCGAATTTCGAAGAATCTCCTGACACAATATTGCTGCAAAGACATTCATTTCGCATGGAATCATCATCATTTTCTTTCATACGAAATGAAAGCCACACGTAATTCGATTCTAAAATCGAAAAGTAATGTTTACGATTTCAGAGAAACTGAGCAGACGCCTCGATTATCGTTAGACCGTGACACACCATCCAGTTTTACATGTACAATAAAGTTCTTAAAAAATTATATATCAGCACTTTAGCAAATATGAACAAAGGAAAGTTAAAATTTGAGGTCAAAAATGTTGATGTAATAAGATGAGTCAAACGTGATGATAGCAATTGTAAAATTGGCAGAGATGTTGGAAGTCCTGAAACAACAAAGAAAAGAGGTAAAGCGACATCAGCTTGTTGCGGTTTGTAGGATACGTTTGGGAATAGAATTATTACAAAGACAGAGTAGTGTGGATATGTAAAAGTGTTCGATTCACCAGCAAACACGACGAAATCAGTCACGCGATTGCTAAACTACCAAGTGATAATGCGTTCTTTCTCGTCTTTGCTTATAATAAATTTTTGTTTTAGATGTTTTTTCATTATTCTTACTTATTATGTAGCATTTAGAGATGGAGATTTAATTGTACTTTACACATTTTTGTTCAGCTTTACAATGGACTAGAACAAATTAGGTGGGTACATGTGCTGTAATCACCTCGAAAAGGGCGAGTTTGCAGAGGACAGAATTTTAAAAGTAGGAGTTAATCGTACTAATCGGAAACTGACTGTATCAGGTGAAAACATGTGTAGAGGGAAAATTTCATGCTAACAAGCTACTAATAACTCCGAAACATGCACAAATCTTATTCCTTTGAACTATTAAATCGTCACAATCAACCTCCTATTTTGATAGAATTTCAGTTGGATATACTTCCCGAAAAGTATTCCCATTCCGACTCAAATGGATTATGTGTTAATAAATGAAAATGGGAAAATTCAATTATAAGGCCTTCATCACATGAAACTAAATAGAAGGAATGTCGGAATTAGAATAAATTTTCAGAAGAATAGCTTTGTAAAATTAAATGGAGATTTAAAGCTTACTCGTATGATTGTGAGAAAATACAAGTAGCAGTACGCATTTCAGCTTAAACGGAATAGGGTGAATACATCTCGCATGTATGATGTACTGGTGGTGTGGAAAACATACTTTAAAACGAAAAATAGGGCACCCGTTTCAATTGAATTTTAGTTGGATATGCTTCCCGAAAGGTATTCTCATCCCGACTCGACAGGATTATGTGGAATTAAATG